CCTTAATTCTCTGAGGTAGGTACGGGTCCCTTTGTTGCGGGAACTTTTATCTATTTTCATATAAGTGGGTTAGTTTTGTGTGTGAGTGGTGGGTTTGAAACTCAGTAGTTTGTGCTGATGTTTCAACTCGAACAATTGAGATTGTGCGAAATAGAATATACTCATTTGAATTTCAACTATTCATTTATGTTTTAACTTTGTGATTTTAGATGTGGACGTCTGCCGTGGGGGTTTTCAATTGATTTTAACAGTTTTGAATTTAATATGAAATATATAATTGCACGTGTGTGAATTTTTAAATCGTTTACAGTTTTTAAATTTTTACTAAATTGAAATCTGACATCTCTCTGTTCTGTTGTGTATATATTTCTATATAATATAGCATGATGTCTAATATAACTGATAATTTCCTTATTCTCGTCATAGCTACAGGGTCAAAGAACTAGCTGTCGATTAAAAGGAAATTCTATCCTGCTGGCAAGTCACGAAAAACAATAGAAGAAGGTAGAACAATGGATGGAAAACAAACATTTCGCTTTAATAATAATAGCCAATTTTATGCCACACTAATAATTGTTTTACTGGTAAGTTCAATGACCCCTAGCCAGTATCTAGGTAGGTATAGTAGGTACCACAGATCATTTTCAAACGGCAAGTGATACTGAAGATCGATGAGTACTATACTATACTATACTATACTATGATAGTATAATTTGTCAGTAAGCTTGGTGTTTGTGGCCCATGAGAAGACTTTTGATTCGGTGGAGGTATAAGCGTATCTTCACAGTGTTGCCCTATTGACTTATTAATATACTGATTGAAGTACTTAATTGAACAATAAAGACACCACCTTGGTCCGAGCATAGGAACAAAACACTATTTATTCAAATTTCCAAACAGTGTGATATGTGTGTGTGTGATCTCACTCTGCCGCTCTTGAGTCGGAAACAGAAATTAGATGATTTTTATACCCTCAAAAAGTTGACGGTTTTTTTGGTTGGTTATAACCCTATATTGTTAAAAGCAATCCTTTTTTTTTAAATAGCAAACGGCAAACGAGCAACCGGATTACCTGATGGAAAGTTTTTCTGATCATAATCTATCACCAAACAACGTCTCCACATGTAAAGATAATAAACACATATATAAACTACACAATCATATTATACAAAATATACACATACATTTTGCAATATATCATCACTATATTCGAACATATATATATTATTATAGTCTAGTGTCGAACGGAGCTGGTTCAAGCAAGGTACTCGCTTTCATAGTGATCTATAGTTCTCTATTACCTATGATTCCATCTTATCACCTCCAAGGAGGCTTGTAATCAGAGACACAATAGTATCAACTGACAATAAACAGTAGAATAATATACATGCATTTAATACGACTAAGCGACAGCTTTAATATGTCGTGGTGGCCCGGAGACTAAGACACCCACTTCTCATGCATGAGGGTTCGAAACCTAGCAAGTTCTAACTAATGTGGCCTTTTCCGAGTTATATGTACTTTCTATGATTATTTAGACACCACTGACATACGGTGAGAGAAAACTTTGGGAAGAAATCTGTACTTTTAATTGTAATGAAATCGCCATCAAACGTTAAAGTTTGGCGAGTTTAGATGATAAGGACACTTTTCTGTAACTTTACTGAATAAATTATTAAAAAAAAATCTAAATACGGCAAACCAGTTACCTGCTTAGGCCATTCCACCTATAACAAGCGTGGTGATTAATGCTTAAACCTTCTCCTTGTGAAAAGAGGTGGAGATCTTTGTAAGAAAAGTTGCTAATAATATAATTACCATAACATGCTATTTACTCGTCGAAAGATTAGACTTTAATTTAAAATACCTAGCTAGGTGCTTTTGCCAAACATGTTTTAATTTGAAGCAATGAGAGTCTCAAATCCGTACTATATCTTTTTCTTCACTGTTTCAAGTATCAACAGTAAAACAATATACTAATTGCGTCCTTCAACATCTCAAATTAAATGAACCATGTATGTACAACTTTACAGTTTTGATATAAAACTAAAAATACAATGTATGGGTTCTTTTTTACTAATAAGTTTTGTAATAAAACGTTTCTAACATTTATTAACAGTAATACATTTTAATAGGCTCTATCTATCAACTTCCAATATTAAAGCGTAAGACGTCTACTAAAGGTTCATAATTGTACGCAACAGCTGCTGTCGTTCCCAACCATTGATCGAAGCTTGTTAGCCGAAATTTGTAACTAGCCTGTGGCGTCTCGCAGAATTATAATTTATCTTCAGTAAAGTAATCTTATCGAATATCAGCATGCCAATTTTAATTAGCTCCTCGATCTAGGCGCTATAACAAAAATACAAGCTTGCGAAGTTCCCTTAGTCGCTGGGAATCCCTTAAAATACGACTACCTATGTTGAAAAATGTATGTGAAATTCCATGTTTGTAAACGCACTCACACAGGATACAGGATAAAATCCAAGTGTGAGTTTTTTTTAATAAGATACATTAGTATACCTATATATAATGTTTACGAGCAGAAAGCTGACGGTTTCTTTAGCCCACTTACGATTCCATAATCAAATATTGTGTGGAGACCTACAGTAACAGTTTGAAGTTCCTTAATAAAATGGTGTAAAAAACAGCCTGTTTAACTAACGAATTTATTTTATTCTATTTTTAAATGTAGTGCTCAATTATTCTGAGAAAATACCAACCCTTTAACCAACACGGTTAATGCAACAAGAGTCTGCCTGAATGATTTACAAAAGGAAAATTATTCTTGCTTCCTGGAGATAGATACTACGTTAAGAACTACATATAATAAAGAATGGATTTCGGACAAAAAACCTTAACCAACGCTACGTATCCCCTTAATGAATATGTTGTGAAGTACATAGATAAACACGAGCATACAACAACAAAAATGTTGGTTTTACTTTTGTCCCGTATCCCGTAATTTTATCTGAACATGGTCTACCCAAAAGTCTCAGGACACATCTAATAAATCAAATAATGAGACCTGGACTGAAATACACCGAAAAATATCATATGACAAGCCAAAGCTTCACAAAGTTCATATTTGAATACGAAAAATATAATTTTGACGCCCACAGAATTATTCACTATGAGACTGTAATAGTGTCTCACCACAAAAAATACCTCATCTCACATGAAGAAGGAAGGCAAACAAGCAGGCGGAACTGATGGTAAGTGATCAGCGCCGCCCAAGGTCACCTCCAACACCAGAGGACTTACGGCGCGTTGCCAGCCTTCACCTCCAGGCTACTACTACACTAAAGATATTAATTTTACTTTCTTCAACGTTTATATTCACTAAAAAGCGTGCCTAGTTAGAGTGCGTGCGTCCTTTAGATTTTTTATTGATGTTTCATGAAATTAGAGATTGCTTGCTTTCGCCGCATTTTTTATTGTATCCAAATAGTCGTAAAAAGTACACCATAATGAAGTTCGAATAAAGTAATATTTGCTAGTTTTGATCCCACTCAAACTCTCGGGACTGGGCTCTTCAAGCATAGCAAGCCCGGTACAGCTTCGGTGACAGAATTATTGACAAGGTTCAAACATAAAAAAATCGACTGTTATGAATTAATTACTGAATAAATAACTCGAAGTAGATAGATCAAGTTTGATTGATCCATGTAATATAATCAAAATTTAACTGATTCTGGTAAAACAAGGTACCTTAGGGAAAGGATTAGGGAGAAAGAAAAGAGCGTTGGGTAAATCAAAATGGCTGCTGCTTTTTCAGGGGTTGATTTTTTTGTTGGAAATAAAATTCTTGGGTAGAGTTAAGACTTTTCTATGGAGGCAAATAAGCAGACGGATCACCCGATTATAAGTGATGAGTGCAAGTTGAGTCACAAGCACATTGCCTGCCTTTTAAGGAGTACGCGCGTTTCTTGAACGTTTCGCAGTCATATCAGTATGTATGGAAATATCACCGCCAAAAGATTATTCCAAACTTTTGCTGTGTGACGCGTTTATTGCACAGTTGTTAACTGCCAACCGGAAATGTTTTCGCGTAGGAGGCTTGTTGCTGCGACGTGTGATCTCCAACCCTTCTGTCGAAAATGGAGATCACGGACAAACACATCTTTTGTAGAAGAGGCTCCCGACTTGAAATGCCCAAAATTCTTAACAAATGTTTAATCAACAAGTTACCCCTTATCTTGGTTAACTTGTTCAAGGACTTTGTAAAACACCACTCCTAACTTTTCTCTAAGGATTAGGCTTTATAATATTCAAAATTAATACTCAACAAGATGTATATATTATAACGTACACCAGTATTGTATATGTCTAACCTATAGAGACTAACATTTTTAAAATAAAAATACTGATTATATTGTATGATATTAAGACGTTAAGACGTCGATATCACTAAAATATGTATGAAATAAAAGTAATTTTAATGTTTTCAGAGTACTTAGCATTTACATCAACGATCGTATACATTTAATATTTATTTACATTTTCTTTGATTTAGCTTTCACAGGGAATGCCATAAATATATTAAGGATATTTAATAAAGATTTTCTTTGAAACATTTTCAAATAAAATAAGTTTTATAAAAAATTACTTCTGATGAATGTAAGTGAATAATAACGATATCAAAATATGACTGGTGAAATTCTGTAGTTACTACGCCGTAGTATTGACTGCTACGACGTAGCTAGACGTAGAACAGTCGTAGTAAGTTACGATAAACAGTATTATTATGAAAACGCATTAAATAAACATTGAAGTATTTCAAAATCAGTATTAAACAAAAGAAAAAATACTTTTTACAATATGTACAAGCGTACTTATTGTATAATGTATGTGTATACTAAGCCATTCTGTCATTTTAACGCCAATGTAGTTCTTACTTTAACACAACGCAAGCTTAAAATGTATGCAAGTAAATTCGCATTGCACAAAATAATTATGTCGCTTATAGTCAGGAGAATAAAACAATTGCAAGTACTCACCGAAAGCGTTATAATCTTGTCGAACAGCATGATCGGCGGCATGTGGAAATCAAAGACGAAATACTGTGAACAAAAGAAAATAATTTTATATTAAATATTGTGTGCAAAAAATAAACGTGTACTAAATTTTATACTCATTAGACGCGTATTATTAAATCGTATTATTTAGTTTTCAGAGGTTTTGAGAGGTTGTGCCTGACTATTCTCAGATATATCTACACTAAAACTATAAATAGGAAAATGTGGTTTGTAACTTTGTTTGAAGTTAATAACTGATTTAAACAATTACCTCACAATTGAAAAGATCTCATTTATTTTCAAGAAATACATGAAGAAGATAACTTTTAATGATTAAGGTCGGAAATCGAAAGAAATTTATAAATTTTACACCGATGCGAAAGCTAGCGTTATAAATATAATACCAAGGCAATATAATGTACTGCAGATTTTTATTATTAAAAATGAAAATTGCTGACGGAAATATTTAATATCAAAGTTCACGTCGATCTCTATAATATTAAATCCAATATTTTGTGCAAGAAATATTTTTCGCTTTTGATGCATCATGTAATACATATTATTATTAATATATACTAGTCTTAAAATTAATTCCTAGCCGAGCATTTTAAAAATAAATTTCCATTTAAATAGAAAGTTTCTTCATTAATTCACTGTACTGTACTTCATACAGTTGCCAATCCGCCATGAGCAAGCGTGGTGGTTAATGCTCAAACCTTCTCCGTGGGAGAAGAGCCCTTTACTCAGCAGTGGGCACTTATAGGCTGATGGTGATCTTCATAAAATATGTTTATCTATCCTTACTAATGAATGGCAGGGTAACTCGCCTAGTTTCGAGTCAAGCTCGGGGTTCATAATCATGATGCATACATACGACGCGACGTCTCTAGTTTGAATAGCTTGGTTTTTCGTCCCCGAAACCCTTAACATACATGTAAAGAACCGTTTCTAATGTATTTACCTGTATATTTGTATTTAAATGCATATCAAGATATAAAACAAAACTTTAACCTTATTGTGTGCACATACATAGGTACATTAAACGTCCTCAATCCTTTTCTACACAAGAGGATTTACCATAATCTCTACTTAAAAGATCCTGGTTTATCAGAGAACGCTTTTGTCCAGCTTCTGTCCAATGTACCTATAGTTTGTTCGGCGTAAAGACTAAAGACGCCTACCGTACTTTAGTCGTCTTTTGTGCCATCATTATACGATGGGCTATATTTTATATTATTATATATATTAAAGCCCATCGAATAAAAAATCTTATTACATAAGACGGCCTATAAAATATACTAAATCGGGTTATGCCAACAAATTTGTGTTATGTTAATCCGAAACGTGCCAAATTCTCACCATGAAGGTTGGATTACAATCTTAAAAATATTAGACATAAATTCTCTTGTTGGAAGGTCAACAAAAGCGGTATTGTGTGATCACTTATGATATACATAAATAAATTATTCATAGTCTGGGTTTACAAGCGGGGATAGATAATCTATTGAAATTATTGTGTATCTTCTTGGGGTTACTGGAAGATTAAACAATATACAAGACTATACATATAGGTTTTGTAGATAATTCAGTATCAACTTTGAAATATATGAACAGATGGACAAATTTGGAATTTATTGTTTTGCTGTGAACGTCTTCTGGCTGGATGATGAGTCGAAATTAGCAGGAATGATCATATTGAGGTCTTTTGATGATGGATATCGTAATTATAATAATTGTACTGATATTATAAATGTTTTTGAAAATTTATGAATGTAAAACGGTTTGACCGATTGTGTTGAAATTCGGTATTATACCTACCCTGGATTAAAACTTAGGCTGTTTTTTATCAATATAAAACAGCTAGTCCAATATAAAACAATCCTGATTGAAATTTACAGCAATTATGTAAATATTAATACATAAAAATCTTTCTTGTACAGGGTATTCCTGAGAGTATGGATCAAAATGAAGAGAGGAATGAGGAAAGTCATTTCAAAGTTTATACCTTTGAGGTTTTTGGTGAAATTCTTGTCGGTTGAAAAGTTATAGCAAATTGTACTTTGTTTGTGTATGCGTTGATACGTTGGGTGTGTACTGGCAATAAAATGTATGTTGAATAAATTTTGTCAACTATGTTTATATTAATTAACGCCATTTGTACATGAAAAGATTCAGTCAGTAGTATTTGTAATTGTATATATTGCATATTGTGTTATTTTATAATTATGTTTTTCTTAAACTTTTAAATACCACTAAATAGTCAATCAACTTTTGTATAAAATACAATAAAAAATAAATAAAATAACGCCTCTTTATTCACCTTAAGATTTCATTATTAAATTAATAATCAGTCTATTATGAACACGAAAATGAAATAGCCATCGCCTGATTATTTATATTATTATATTACATACAAGGCCAGTTAGGTCATTTGATTGTAGAAAAATAATTATATAGGTGCATTATACCCTATTAATTTACTCCAACTGTATGTTGACGTGACCTTTTACACAAAACCAAATACAAACAAAGAATAACTCTATATTTAACTTAAACTGAACCTTACCTCGTTGTAATAAGGACAGTTGGTGCTCTCCTTGACGCTTGTGTACTTGCGAACATCGCCTATTTGCACGCAGACTACAGGATCCATGTTCAGGCCCGCGAGCTGACGGGCCTCGATCACAGTCACGCAGACTTGGAAATCAGCTGCTTTCAGTGCGGATGGAACTCCAGTATCTATGACAGTACGCCTAAGAAACAAAGAAAACACGTTCTTACATAAAACGGATCTCTTTCTAAATCAACAATTGCTAAAATTAACCTTGATACAACTTGTATTTTGTGTCTTCTCTTGTTCTCTTTAAGTGTGGGAGAGCCAAGCTTCGGCACGAATGGGTCGGCTCGACCGGAGTGATACCACGGCCTCACAGAATACCGGCGTGAAACAACCCACAGCGTTGTGTTTCGCCGTGTGAGTGAGGTTACCGGAGGCCCAATCCCTCCCCTTCCCCTATCCCTTCCCAATCCTTATATCTGCAACCCCCATCCCCAAAAGGCCGGCAACGCACTCGTAAATCCTTTGGTATTGAGGGTGTCCATGGGCGGCGCCGATTGCTTACCATCAGGTAATCCGTCTGCTCGTTTGCCGACTTATACCATAAAAAAATAATTGTATTATTAAACACTATGTGACCTGGGAAAAAATCTCTTGTGATAATGAAACTCACAGTAATTTGTCAAATTAATTTTAAGTACTTACATTCTTTTAAACTTGCGTGTTTCGGTCGGTGAATTTATATCAACAAGTACTTCGTCAGATGAGACTGATATCTGACTCGTTGGTCGGTCAGGTTCTGACGAAGGCCCAGGTGTCTCGAGGAGGCCTTGTTCTTCATCACTACTGCAGCGTGACGCGCGGGCCTTGCCAAGACGCATCAAGGTCCTCACAGTTTTCAGAGTAGAAGGGCGAGATTTGCGTTCGGGTATCTCTATCACGACTTTCTCGCTGCCCAGGGTGAATCCACGCCTAGGAATGGGAATACGGTTAATTTATTAATTTATTATTATATAATTAATACATAAATATACAAAACAATATGCAACTTCTTAATCATATTTTAAAGTGGCACTGGGCAGAATTTTTAAACAAAAACAATAACGAATCATATGCATCATATTTTATTATAGATACTTCAAATTTAAAACAGATTGCATCTGTTAAATATTCATCGGGCAGCGCCAGCATATGACACGTGGACAGACAATTAACGGTCCACAAAGTAAGTCGCGAAAAAAACTCTTTTAAAAAGCACAATCATTAATAAAAAGCACGTGACTTCGAAACTCCATTACGTAGCGACCAACATCAGAATATTTTGTGGCAGTTAAGTATTCTAAGGGCGTTCGTCCATGAATATTGTACAAGGATATTTACACAAATGAACTGTGTTTGCGGCCGCAGATTGCGCCATTCTTTACTAATCAAGCGTTTGTTTTGTTTTGAATACGTTGATGGAAAAAATGGCGTTGCTAACGTGATTTCGCATTTCCATCTACGATTCATGGCGCAGCGTGTGTTTGGCAATGTGATAGAATGGCTAATCTAATCTAATGCCTATTACAATGCAGAGTACTGTCACAATAGCTTCATAATTGATATATTTTAAAAATTCTGAGTTAACGATTTGCTGGTTATTGATTACCTATTCTTTTTTACGTTTTGACTTATCACATATCCCGATTATAATTAGTGGCCACTGCTCAACAAAGGCCTCTTCTAACATGGAGAAGGTTTGAGCATTGATCACCTTGCTTGCGAATGTGGACTGGCGATTTCAAACTTATTACTAGACATGGTAAGAACAAGTTTCAGCGATACTGTATGTCAAATAATCATATAATGTATGTACATTATTATACATATAACTCGGAAAAAGTCACATTGGTATTGGTTAGGTTTCGAACGCAGAAATACATAGAAGCCTTTTTCTGTTAATTGGTCTTCGGGTTATTTTGACATTATTTATGCTTCTACTATTCAGTACACGTATTTTTACTAAAGGTACTTATAGTGTATGATAAAAAATAGCGACCAAGAAGTCAAGAAAAGAAACGATTTTAAGAGCTTACAGTTTTCTTCACCTTCAGAGAAATAAGAAAAGTTATTTTTATTCGTATTGACTCACTGCAGAGTATTACTATGAAATATATACTTCGAGAAAATATTTCATGACTTCTAGTATAAAGGTGAAACATCGGTACTGCGGAACCAGAAAGCATTTCTAGCCATCGCACAATAAAACTGTGAGAAGTGCTCTGTATAGAAATGACGGAAACTTTTATTCTTTGTTAAAAACGATATCTTAAAAGCAAACTCAAGTTAAAAAATAAACCAAAGTGACTTATGATTAGCTTTTCTAGAACCATCTCAATTCCCATTAAAATTTAATAAGTGGTCCATCTTTTTAAAATGTGTAGTTCTAACATTTCGGTCAAATTAATATTAACCCGTGGTATGCCGGGAGCGCAGATATACGCGAGACACAATGTGTTTTCTATTGTGTCTCATATACCGGCAGACGAGCGGTTAAGTACTAGTACATTGGTAGGGATGACGTCAAAAGCGTTCATATAAGGACAAAAAAAGTGATTTCAAATGGGCTCTGACACTGAGTATAATGGGTTATGACGTGGTGACCCTGAGGTTAAAGCCCGCTTGTCGTTCATCAAGAAGCAGGTCTGAACCTAGAAAGTACGATGTTGTGTCTTTTTCCGAGTTATATGCAGGTATTTCCTAAGATAATTTACACACCTTCAACAGAGACAAACGATGAAAGAAAACATTGTGAGGTTTGTATAAGATTGTATGAGTTATTTCTAATAAATAATACAGAATGAGACAGGTAGGAAACGATTAAAAAATTCGGAATTTTGTTTAAACACTGAAAGGGGACAGATTTTGTCAAGCAAAGATGTAGCTCAGGAGTTTGAGGCATTTTTTGCTAATATACCTGTCACAACAACTGCTCATTTAGAATCATCAGCCAGACTATCGGTAACTTTGCTTAGAGAAAATGTCAAATCATGCAAAGACGATTTTAGTTTTCATTATACCAATCCTTTAGAGATAATAAAGGTTTTTAAAGAAATCAAGATCAAATCAACTGAGGACCTTTGGGGACTATCGGTGAAAGTATGCGGATCACTTATACGAACTTTAGCGCCGTATCTGGCTTTGATTTTCAATAAAAGTATAGATGACGGTGTCTTCCCGAACCTAATGAAATACAGTAAAGTTATTCCATTATTCAAAAATGGTGACACTAAAGAACCAAACAACTATAGGCCTGTGTCTATTCTGCCGGTTCTTAGCAAAGTGTTTGAAAAGTTAATGCTATCTCGGATGCTTCATCACTTTGATAAACATGCCATTTTCCATCACCAACAATACGGTTTCACTAAAGGTCGTTGTACAACTGACGCCGGTGTCACTTTGATAAAGGAGGTATTCGGTGCTTGGGAGGAAGCACAGGATGCTGTTGGTGTCTTTTGCGACCTCTCAAAGGCGTTCGATTGCGTTGATCATGAAACACTCTTGCTGAAATTAGATCATTACGGGATTAGACATACTGCACTCCGTCTACTAAAGTCATATTTAGAGGATAGGCGGCTGAGAGTTCATGTAGGTGGTTCTAACTCACGGGGCTCTGAGATAAAAATTGGCGTACCGCAAGGTTCAATTTTGGGTCCGTTTCTCTTCTTAGTGTATGTTAATGACTTGCCATTTCTATTTAAAACCGAGCCAAGAATGGTGCTGTTTGCAGATGATACATCATTAATTTTTAGAATAGGTCGACGTGTTAATAATTTTGACGAAGTGAACAGATCCATTCATCAAGTTCATAATTGGTTTACAGTCAATAATTTAGCACTTAACGAGAAAAAAACAAAATGTATTAAATTTAGCTTGCCCAACGTACACAGTAATGATTGTGACATAATTTTAAATGGGCAAAAGTTAGAATTTGTTAACGAGACTATGTTCCTAGGTATTACGCTAGACAATAAACTTCAATGGGGTTCCCACATAAAGACGCTTTCGAAAAGACTAAGCTCAGCTGTTTTTGCAGTTAGACAGCTCACAGACGTGAACACAGCAAGGCTTGTTTATTTTAGCTATTTTCACAGCATTATGTCGTACGGAATTTTGCTGTGGGGTCGAGCTGCGGAAGTAGATTCAATATTTATTCTGCAAAAGCGGGCTATCCGAGCGATATACAACTTGCCCCCTCGTGAATCTCTGAGAGAACTATTTAAAACGATAAATATCCTAACGGTACCTTGTCAGTTTATATATGAAAACATTATGTACGTAAGGAAAAATTTGCAATTATTTGAAAAAAGAAGCGATAGACATAATCTTAATACAAGAGGCAAAGATAGGCTGGCTGTGCCACGATTCCGTCTGTCCAAAGTACAGAAATCCTTTATGGGGTTCTGTGTAAATTGTTACAATAAAATTCCAAGAAGTGTATTAAATCTTAATGAACGAAAATTTAAAACTTATATTAAACGCGAATTATGTAGACAGGCATACTACAAACTCTCAGATTATATTGAGGACAAGAATGCCTGGCAGCATGTTGGTTCGGCTCCACTGGACAATACTCAAATATGTAGTCAGTAGATAATGAAATTCTCAAAATTAATGAAACCTTGAATGAGTTTATATAGAAGCATTCTTTTGGATTGTGAGTACGCATTATGTGAGCGCCATGTTCGAGACAACAAAGGATTAAAATTTTAATGATAGATTAGATAGACCATCATTTGTTCCTTTTTATTAACAACTTGTCTCTGCATTGCTCTCACATAGGCGTACAGTAATGTATAAAATGTATTACTGGTGAATTATAAAACAAATATTTTTTTAAAAGAGTAACGATGGAGTTTCTTGCTCGTTCTTCTCTATTCGAAACTACAATTTGGAACGAGCACCTAGCTTCACTGACGAACAGACTGACATACTACTATTCTATTTTGACGTTTCAAAAGTACCTATTTATGGTTTAGTTGGAATAAATGATTTTGATTTGATTTGATTTGATTTGAATATAAGTTTGAAGTCGCCAATTCGCCTTAAGCAAGCGTGATGATTAAAGCTCAAACCTTTTCCACATAAGAAGGCATTTGCTCAGTAGTGGGCACTTATAGGATGATGATAATGGGCTTGAAAATTTGTACAAAGCTACTTTACGCGGTAAAAGAAACTACTGCGGTTGTGAAAGTTGACGACCCATAAGTTGATTCTACAGCAATTGGCGTGAAAGCAAAAACATAATTCTCCAATTCGGCGTCCTTTGCCTAATTGCCGTAACTAATTTAGCACATTTAATTATGAGAAGTATATAAAAATACTTTACTCACTTGAGCAAGCGCTTTCCTGCAGTCTTCAACTTGTGAGCTCGGGACTCCTCCAGGCACTCCATATCAATGGTAACTTCTTTGTCACGAATGGATTGTTCAATAGTCGCAATATTGCGTTCCACGTCTTCTAGGACATTATCATCAGAATCTTTAGGAGATGTTCCAGCTACGGAACCACGGGACGAACCCGGCGTCGAAGCATATCCAGAGGCGTGGGCTCCATGGACTTGTACAGGACCAGAGCCGTGCACCATCGGTATGTTGTACGAAGACCCTTTATATGAGTTCACATCAGCTCTGAAAAATGGATCTCCACGCAGTGATCCAGTTGGGGGATTGTAGTATACGTCCATGTCGACGAAAACCTGGAAAGAAAAGGTTTTGTTAGTAAGTTTGTCTACTTGCACTCGGTTAGATTAGAATCTTAGGTCTCGTTTACAGAGACGCGTTAAGCGTTTGTCATACACTGCAGCTGCAACCGACTGACTTATCGTCCGTGCAACCGCAACTATATAAGCAAAGTACGCAGGTATTCTTTCGGAGCTAGTCTATACAGAGTATTCAATCACATATATTGATTCTGGTCACGTTGGAGGTTAATGTGGGGGTTTAAAAAAGGTTTACTTAGGCTTTTTAGAACTAGAGAGTCTAAAAATCCTAATTCTTTCTTCAGGTCTCCTTACATCTAAATAAAAATCACACCATCAGCCTATAAATAGCCAAGCAAATCTTCTCACTCGCAGAAGGTATGAGCATTAATTATCGCGTTCGCTCAAGGCGGAATAGCGTTTCAAACTTATAATTAGAAATTACAAGTTCAAGTTTCCTTACGATGTTTTCCTTTATCGATGCTTTAATAATCTTGGAAGGTAGGTACATATAACTTGGAATAAGTCACACTGGTACTTGAGAGGATTCCAACTATTCATTCTTGAGAAGCAGACGCCTCAAACTCCGCTCTTCACTCAATATATACATATCCTCCTAATGTTAAGTGTAAGTGTAAGTGTGGGAGAGCCATGCTTCGGCAGGAATGGGTCGGCTCGACCGGAGTGATACCACTGCCTCACAGAAAACCGGCGTGAAACAACCACAGAGTTGTGTTTTGCCGTGTGAGTGAGGTTACCGAAGGCCCAATCCTTCCCTTCCCCCAATTCCTCCTCAATCCCTGAGTCTCCAAATCCCTTATCCCTAAAAGATCGGCAACGCACTCGTAACTCCTTCGTTGCGGGTGTCCATGGGCGGCGCTGATTGCCGAACTATTACATAAAAAAAAATTGAAAGTTTGTCAGAACGTATATTTGTATATTTCACGCGGAAACGACTCAACCGATTTGGTTGAAATTTTGTATCTAGATAGGTAATATTTAAATAACACATAAGCTGCAGCTTTTTGTCAAAACATCACGTGGGCGAATGTGAGTGGAAGCTACTATACATATAAATTGACAAGTACAGTAGGTAATATTTAAATTGTAAAAATCACTTTGGGAACATTATTGATCCGAAGAATCTGCTAATTCATTGTACTAATACAGCGGTATGTACCTGCGGTAATTTCGTGGAATCTTCGCTTTGTTCCTAATTAAGGCAAAGTAGCCTCGAGCAGCAAACTTGAACCGTGTTCGACTAAACCGACGCCAATGATTTCATAGAAATTAATCTTTTATGAAGGCTTTTGGGAAATATTAATCATATTTTTTTATAGAATTTTTATTATATCTCAATATCATCACTAATAAATTAAAAATACATAATATATAACCAAATGCAAAAGACTATCAACTAAAAAGGATTTATTAATATATAAAGTGTCTATATTTTTCCTATCAAGTAAAAATAAAACACAATCAATACTGTGTATGTTTACCTAATCCACTCTAAAGCTAATCATCGTTGTTACTACTCAAATATTATTTAATTCTAACTGCGTTACATAGATACGTATGCTTAATAGAAAAGAGGCTTAACTCAAAAAAGAAGGTATCAGAATATTAAAAGTTATGTCCTATTTAAAATAAGGTTTAATTTTGTATTTCCCTCTTTTATGTTCTTTTCTGTTTTCTATCAAACATGTTATATATAATTATTTATACAGGCACTGAATAACGTCTTTTGGTTCTTTAAAATCCTCGTTAAAAGAGAACTGGTGTACACTGTTCCATTATCTGTTGTTAAAAGGGAAAAAGATGAGGAAAATTTCCAATATGCTATTATAAAAATTCTACAGAATCTTTATGAGACACAAAAGCACTTCATTATAAGAATAGTTACGTTCGATACTATTAAATATATTTAAATAACCTCCTAATAAGTGCATCGGTGGCTGGTTGCGCCATAAAAATGGCGTTTTAGTACATATTGCTATAAAATAGATTACGTAGCTATAATAACTCTTAAGACTGAAAACAAGTACTGTGTACAAGTTTTTCGGTAAATAAAAATGCGTTTGTGCATAGTCATGTTAAGAGCAATACGGTAGTTTCCAACCAGTCAAATTCAATACTTTTATCCAAACGTCGAAAACGATTATTTTCTATGATTTTTTATGAAACATTGTGTTATGACGTCATAGTTTTTTTGCGTCAAATAACTTAGCTAAAAAATGTCTAAAATTTAGTGTATCGATCGATCGATGAATAAAAGTACAGTTATTTTTCATAATTTTATTGTATTGAAATGTCGAATTAATTTATTTTTGACATAGAAAACTACCCAACTATTGTAGTTCGTGTTACTGGGAGCAATTCCCACTTGGACCAAGATGTGATACGTATTTTAACGTGTACGTTTCTAAACTCAACCACGACACAGGAGAAAATACTAATGAATGGTTTATAAAAAAAACATGTCACCGTAATTCTCTTTAACAAAAGATCTATAGCAATATCAACGTGTACGAAAACACCGAAAAAGCTTTAAGCAAACACGTAGATTAAAATGTGACCTACAAATTACATCCCTTGTTATTTTGGGGTCCCCATTCATTTTACATTAGCCTCTCCGTAGGAAATGCAACAGTTGGCTCGTTTGATTCCCCCGTACCTAGGTAGCTGTATTACATGTAGCGTGGATAATACCCATTGTTTGTGGAACATTTTACGACTATAGTGAGCTTCGTGCCATTGGATCCAACCTTTCTCAACCTGTAATAATTGAGAACCTACTGTGGATTGCTATCCGCTGATTTCTCACGTTTCATGGTTTTGATAAATGCGTGTCGTTTTTAGTTCGTTTATTCTGAATTTACATTGCATAACGTCATCGGCTTATAAGTACCCGCTGCTGAGCAAAGGTTTTCTTCTCACATGGAAAAGGTTTGAGCATTTATCACCACGCCTGCACATGGCGGTTCGGCGATTTAAAACTATTCATGGATGAAATTAGGGAAAAAAATGGGGAATGAAACTAATTATAAATTAGAAGTGCATATCACCACATCCTCACGGTTTTTTCCTTTACCGTTAGTCAACAGTGTCTTAACACAGTTAGAAAACACACATAAGACAAAGTCGCATTGGTACTTGCCAGGTTCCTCATTACCACAACCAGCATTCTCACGTATGCGTGCGGAACCTTAACCTCCGGGAAACCACATCATTATTTACAGTTCAACAATTTATACATTAATTGTGACCTTGAACAGTTTCTTAGAATGACCAAAAAGTAGTAATTCAGTTGACAAATGATAACATTATTCCATGATATCAACGAAGAATGTATTTGTATATAGTATAGTTAGTTAGTTATATATATTATATACAGTTAAAAAATAAATAGAGGTACTAACCTACCTCCGCACTACAAACACACCTGTTCAGCCGTAAGACCTTAGTAAAAAACCGGTCGCTGTCTACTTTCCTAGGAGATTAATGATTCGCGTGCTTAAACGTAATAGTACCTTAGAGAGAAGAAAGAAAAATCTATAGAAACATGGAAACTAGGCGGTATTTGTACGTTGAAGTAAGAGTAAAAACATCGGTTCACATCCATGCCATCATTAAATTGGGTGATATTAGTCAAAAATAAATTAATATATTGTGTTTCCAGTTTCATTCTTAAAACACGACTTTAACAAATTATTGCTACTAAAACCGATTGTAAGAACCAAACGCAAGACTTCACGCCAGTTTTCTGAGACGCTGTGATATCAAGCTGGTATAGCCAACTCATTAGTGTTGATAGACTTTCCCACGTGTCGATAATCTACTCCTGCAAAATAATAATATTGAAGCACGAGAACCTAGAAGGAATTAATTTTGCAACCAATTATATAAATTGATTAAATTGTCTGTGAACTTCTATTAAAACGTGTTTTCAAAGAAAATGTCAAAACCAGAATAACAATTATTTGTGTTTATAGAAGAAACCTTTGTTGTTTGAGTATAATTTAATATGCTCATAGTAATAGACACGAATAAATAGATTGTAATACGAAACAGCTATAGTAAACATCATTTGGATCTTCGATTTAGTACATCTGTAAAATCAATCTGTTGTTTGAATCTATTATGTACAAAATAATATTATATTATCTGGTTTCAATAAAGAGGCACCTACTTTTTTTATGTGCAAACAAGCAGACGGATTACCTATGGTAAGCAATTAGCGCCGCCCATGGACACCCGACAACATAAGAGTGGTGTTATAACTTTGACGTATCTGTCTGTCTGTCTGTGGCTTCCTGGAGTCTGAACGGATGAAGCGATTTCAATTTAGATTTTTTTTGTATTAAAAATGACTTACGTGCGAGTGTTCTTAAACATGTTTGACGAAAATCGGCTGAGCCGTTTAGAAGTTATGGGGGTACTTAAATGTAGAAGGTTAACTACAGGTCTGCAAATATATTCGAGTGGGGTCTCAAATATAAGCGCACTGAAAGGGAATAATTGATTTTTGGTCGGGTTTTTAAATTTTATTTTTGTTTATAATAATTATGTTCGAATCATTTACCCCTTCACAAGATTCGAATTAGATTGCCCGTAGTCAATATTCAAAACCCGTGCTCATATATCCAGACAAAATTGTCTGTAGAAATACCAAGGTTTATCTTTTTAAGGACATTTTAATCATATTGTGAATGGTCTCGGTACGTAAGATAGGGTAGGGAAGGTTGCCTATTGTATCGAAATACAGTTAGGCAAGCATCCGAGTTCAATCTAGTGTTAAATATTCGATAATGGTCGCCCAGGAGAAAAGACGCGATAAGTGATTCAGAAATATCTCACAGCTACCTCTGTCGATATAAATATAAATGGGTACTTTGTTAGGATTCAATAGGTTATGGCAGAAAGTTCTAGCGTTTCTTTTGATAATACATGTTGTATATGTACTTACATAATAATATACATGCACGAAGTATTTG